TTACTTCTACCGTGTGTGTCTTGTATGTTTGTAATGGTATTAAAACTGTTTACGACCCTCATAGCTTTTGGACATCAATTTCCGCCATCTTGCCTTCACTTTTCTCATAGATGACTACCGAAGTTCTTGCTCCAGATATATAGAGCTTACTGGGCGCGCCTCACACTAAACGCGCAAAGCCTCACGGGCAATCCAAGTATGGTAAACCTCTCCACTGATCTCAATGCATGCAGCGATCCATATACTTTCTCTACGTTTCGCTGCGTTATTTGTGTGAAATTCGCACGCGCAGTTATAATAAGGCCCCGCTGGGCTCAGAATCCATCCTGTCAACAGGTAATGGTATAAATTTGATTTCAAAATCATGACATTCAAGATTCTTACTAAATTTGCGAACATAATAAAGAAGAGCAATTTATTGAATCTGGATGAACAATAACCGAAATAAATTCAAAACCTTTTGCCCAGTATTATAGAATAGCATATGACCAATTGAATTTTAAAATCGATTGTGCATTAATTTAACCAATTTAAAATTGGTTATGGATATAATCGATTTAGAATTGGTCATAGCAGGCTGGCATTAAGATATCCTTGTACACACTTTGTGTCCTTGTAAAAGGCGAATGTGTCCTTGTAAATTGAAAAGTGTGTACTTGAAAATAATGGACATAAATGTTTAATATAATTTCGTTATCGTTCCATGTTTCGCGCACCAATATAAGTTAGGGTTAGGGGTTAGGTACTAGGGTTAGGTTAGGGGTTAGGGTTAGGGTATGTATATACGTGTATGGAGGTATTCAGTTAACTTTACAGTACACTATAATATCCATTACATAACGTTTACTATATTGGTGCGCGAAACATGGAACAATTACCTATAATTTCAACTTGAGAATTTGAAATAGTTATTTGTTTGATTGTTTTAAGTATAAAATGCTTGGATTTAAAATAGTGTAATCCAGAGTTTTATGTCTGGCTGAACAAAATTCCGGAATTCGCTGAGCTCTGAGCCCCAGTACTGACTTCCGTTATTGCAATGAGCCTGCTTTAGTGCTTTGCAATTTATGTATTTCACAGTTAAAATCCAAACTAAATCTATTCTACTTGGAATCAAATCTACAAACGCTTGAACGAGATTTTCACATCGAGTTCGTCCAATAAATCGACATCAACATAAGACTTTTCTCAATTGTATAATCCATGCAAGATAAATTCCTTCTTATTTAATTAAATTAAGTTAATAACTTCCCACTTATTTAACCGTAATGACAGTACGAATGTCACCAAACAACTCTGCTCTATAACTCTATAAATTAAAATATTCCAAGCGGTTCTGACAAAGATTAATTACGTCTTGACTCAACTAAAAATGATGTAACCTCTTCCACGTGCATAATTCGCTGTCAGTGTCACTAATTTTCTGGAGTAAAGTTTAAAACAGCGTCGCTGTCTATCGGTGATCATTTACAACAAGGTGGCAGAAATGTGGATACCTAGCTTTCCGTTAATTTCAAAATAACTATTCGCTACATAGTTGCCTATTAAATCGTGAACACAAGAAGGCGAAGGCAGCATCATTTGTATGTTACTGACTCATGGACAATCGAAGCTGTCAAAAACGAGATTCTTCTGTCTTTAGAGAACTTTCTTTCAGAAAGGCTTCAAACTGATGAGTGGAAAGATCTAGCGCCTTTTGTCCGGATGAAGGTTGATGTCAGCGGACAGCGATGATGAACTTAGAGCATGTCACAAGGTCATTATCCCTGACTGTGACCTATTTGAGTTTTGCCAAAGCTACCGAGAAGCAGTAGCAACCCCATCAATTCAGGATGAATGTCCTAGAAGCGTTTTGAAGCAAATTGTTGGTATGGAAGAAATGAAGACTTTAGCAATTGCCTTGGCAAGAGTAATTGCAGCCAAACCTCACTCGACTGATGTGGAGAGACTGATATCAATATACAATATTCTGATGTCACCAGCGAGAAGCGGACTTAACACGGATACCTTTCACTACTACATTTTCATTGGATTCAATCTTCCACCGCTTGCGAGTTATGATGTCAGACCTGCTATTCGATACTGGTTAGCAGATAAGAAGAGAAAACCAAGTGCATCGTCTAAGTACAAGACACAAAAGTGGTTCAATGGTGTCTTTTTTGAAAACACGTTGGTGACGATGAGATCGACATGTCAGAGTTGTCGGAGGAAAGCAGACAAGGAGGACATCACTTGAAACCGTCTTTTGGTTGGAAATTGACATAAGAATTAAGAAAGGATAGGGACCGCCGGACCGTGCTTTGCATGGCTATGCTCTTTTTAAGACTTTTAAGGCTCACGATTACGGAAAAACAAATTTCACATTTCTTTAGTTATTTTACCATTATTCGTTTCAGGAGTTATAACAATTTGATTGTATAAAGTATAAACAATGAATAAAACAGTATTTCCACTTTATTTAGGTTTTCCAAAATGTTTGTAGTTCTTCTGTTTATGACAACTTTAAAGCCTGGTTTTCATTGCAACGCAAGCATAAGGCGTATGCATAAGGGAAAGGAAGATTTTAATATTGTTAAACTTCTGTTTTATGCTTGCGTTTAGGTTTGTGCCAGCAAATCAGTGATGCTTACGCTTAAGTTTACGGCTAGCGAACACCTGCAGGGTTGACGAAAGTGCTCAAATCTGCGTTCCACCCAGACTGTAAAGTAGTAGCTTTGCAGGGAATTAATTTCCCGCGGTAAAATTCTTCCAATTGTGGAAATCCGAGCAAAAAGGATTTGTTTTGAAAATCCGCGCAAAAATTTCTGTAAATCCGCGCAAAATTGCCAAAGATTTTCCAAATTCTGTTCTCAGAACGCTGGAAATGCCATTTCAGAGACCCCCTTAAAAGCTCGCGTCTTCGACGCTCAACTCGTGGCTTTGCCACTCGTTCTCATGAGTCTGCACATTTATACCGAAAATACGCCTCTGAAGGCAAGTGTGTCCTTGTAAAAATTCCGTATTTTAATGCCTGGGTCATAGATACGACCATTAAATTATTGGTTATCATTATCACGGTAAAAGTGACCAAAAACCAAGTGGTTAAATTAACCTTTTAAAATTGTCCAAAAATAATATTATTAAGGTCGAAGTAACCAATTTCTAATTGGTCATGCCTCAATGACCAATTGGTTAATTGGTCATTTTAACCAATCAACACGCAGAATTTGTCGACAACACATGAAAACTTGTCATGGAATATTTGCTTGTGTGTAAGTGACTAAAATTAAAGAGTATCATGTCAGTGATCTATTGCTTGGCGTGACGGTGTCCCAGAAAATGACCAATCCTTGAGATATTTATAAGTGATCTCCAAGTAAGTCATAATATCTTGTGATAATGTTGCGTTTTTTTATGCAAAATGTTTGTAATGAAAGTATATTCATGAGATACAGCCGAATGTATACATAAAATGTAAACGCAAGCGTGCAAAGGATCACTGACATGATTCCAAAATTGAAATAAGAGTTTGCGTTAGTATTGTGGAGGTTAGGATTAGGGTTACGTGTGGAGTGTTCTGCTTTGCACTTCGGGGGCAGAAATGGCTTTACTGGGGGGGGGGGAATTATTTCCCTGGGGGGGGGGGCAATTGCTCCCCCAGATATATAGTTAAAAAAGGCACTGATATAGCCTTGCGAAGTTTGCAATTTTCAGTCATTTCAGATTACAAACGGGAAATGGTTACCACTTCTGTGCGTAATACAAAATGACTGAAAATTACAAACTTCGCAAGGCTATATTATCCGCATTTTACAACATTTTGCAACGAAACTTTGAAATATTACTAATTTTGTGATGCTCTTTCAAGCTGTGATGAAATTTTTGTCTAGACTTGTTAAGATCAAAATTTTGGTTAATTGGGGAATGGTCCATTGCACACGGGTTTTGCAGATGGAACTTTCTAGTGTGAATTTTATAAAACTGCTCCTGGTTAGGTGTAATAAATGTATATGAAAATTTACACTTGAAATTCCCATCTACAAAACCCATCTAAAATTATGTGCTTGATGTCATGTTTTGCAAAAACGAGAGAAAAAGATATGTATGCTACATGCAGCTGTCGGACGCTACACGTCCACGGGGCTGTATACAGCATGCACGCATCCCTGTTTTACGTAGCCCGCTTGGCTGCAAGGATTCCGACTAGGCTTATCCTTTGTTGTTCATTTTTGTAGTGGAAGTGATGGAACTTATTTAATCAAATCAAGAAACAGCGTTGGTTATGAATTAATACCCTGCCTTAGTGCTGGCACACAGATCCCTGAATCAGACTGCACAGGGAGTGGATGGACGTACATAGGGGAATTGTCTAGCGAACAAAGCAATGTAATTAAATCAGTTTAATTATTATATGCCAAGAGTCAAAGTTATTTTCTTTGACACTTGGTATATAATAAAAAAATACTTATTGACTGGGACTTTCGGGAAATAGTATGTTTTGTGGAACTTGGACTGCTGTTTCCCGAGCCGTAGCCCCCTCCCCTCCGCTACACCTCTGCAATATTTTCGTTTACACCAGGGGTCGTAGCGACCGGAGGATGTAACAGGGTCAGAATAAGAATTAGAGTCAGTATTGAACAACGAGACAATAAGTATCAGTATGCGCAAGATTATGTGGGCAAAAATTGTCAAGTATGTCTTCGTCGTTCCTTCGTTGAATCATAGTTAATAGAATAGATGGTTTGGAAACTCATTAGAATAACAATATAACTCATTATCTATGTTAGTCAACGTTTATTCATAAATCTGGTCCTTCACCGTCACGTGCGTGTGGTATTTTTGCCCAACTAACCAAATAGCAATGTTTTAGGAAAGTTACCTATCCGTGACTCGAACAATAGGGTAAATTGGAAATTGCTATTGGTGGATTTGGCAAAAATACAATACACACGTGACGGTGAAGGACCATATTTATGAATAAACGTTGACTAACATAGATAATGAGTTATATTGTTATTCTAATAAGTTTCCAAACCATCTATTCTATTAACTATGGTTGAATGGTTCTCGGGATCAGACTCTCGAGTTATTTGAGATATGGCTCCTTAAATTGCCCATTTTCTCTTTTAAATTGCTCATTTTTAGTTCCGCATTTAAAGTCGTTGCTCTGTGAAAAGTTCATCAGCAGTGTTACAATTTCTCGTTATCTTAGAACAACACAGGCTACGACTCTGCAATTTGGACTGCAAAAGGAGAAAACCAGATTAACTTTAATTCACATTTCTGGAGTGCCAACGTGACTGAGGTGTGCTTAACCGCGAATAGATTTGGTATTCAACTTCCCGTGAAAGGTCCGTCGCTGCGCAGTTTATTTTTCGAAAACATCACATTGGAAATACCTATACAACAATGGATTGATGGTATCAAAATCAACATCTCGCATCTAAACTTCACTAACGGTTGTTTTAAAAGTGGTTTCAACGTGGGGGATCCAAATTCTGTTCGTGCTCGTTTAGGAGTTGTCAGCGTGGTTCCTCACGCGGGTAAGTAAGGCCTGGTTCAAAAGTCACATTTTGTTCAATGCATTTTGCATATACAGCTAATTCAAGAAAAGGTTGTCTTTTGCAAACAGTTAAACTCTAAACCTTAAATTTTAAAGTCCAAGCGCGCAAAGCTTAATGGGAGCACAAGTTTCAAGCTTAGAGTTGAATGTTGCAGCTATTTGTAAATGAATTGTTCTCGTAAGGAGATATTTACCACGTCTCTAAGAAATGGGCCCCATATATATGATTCCTAAACTAATTAAATGATGCTCCCATTATGCTTTGCACGCTTAGAGTTTAAGGTTTAGATTTTAAGGTTTGCAATTTAAAGGACAACTTGTTTTGAATTAGCTGTATATGTCGAATACAATTCGCATTAGATTCGAGCAAATTGAATTCATGCAAAATTCAACACCCGTTTCAAACAAATTTTGAAACGTCGAATTTTGCATGCATCGAATTCAATTCGTCTTGGGCGTTGCCTGGAATAACATAAAGCTTGAGACATTAATCTCGTTTATAAGAATATTAAGGCTGAAATAGGCAAAATTTAAAGAATTTACTATAGAATACATCCAAGATCGTTAAAAGAACATCTTTCAGAGGACAGTATGAAAGTATAGGCTATCTTTAAAAGGGAGAACGGGGAATCGGGGAATGGAGCATATCGGGGAATATCATATTCCTAGACATCTTTAAAAGGGGGGATATGTAATAATAATAATATTATTTCTGTAATAATTTGAACTTGAAAATGAGGTCAAGATGACCTCGGAACGTCGCTCTTTAATACATTTATTATCGCTATCATATTTGTCTAAATCTATATAAAAAGGTTTATGGAAATGATATTCCCCGAGATATTTCCAAATTCCCCGAAAGTATATGCTATGCTCTGATGTATCTATTACAAACAGCTGCAAAAGTAACCTTATATGGTATACTGTACTCCAAAATTTAAGAATGTTGTAAGAATATTTTAAGCCCAAATTTTCGAAAATTTATCAATGTAGTTCGCTACAGCTACAGTTTTGTAAAAGTAGTCAAAAACAACTCGCTACTTGAAATTGCAATTTGCTACAGACAGTAGCGAACTACAACTACTTCGCTACTACGTCCCACCCTTGAACGATAGTAACACCTAGTTTTAAATTTAATTTCGTCTAGGTTGTAGTTTATCCGTGAAGGCGATTGGCGTCGGTATAAAAGTTGCTGGTAAGGATTATGGCAGCGTTCATGGCTTGTACGCCAACACAAATAATGATATAAGTGATGTGTCTTATGACGACGTCGCCGTTTTTGTCCGCTCGCGTCCTGACCCGAGTGAAACTGAGCCAACTATGCCCATGATGATGCCGTGGACTTTTTGTAAACAGTACTATTAAGCATATAATCTTGAACAGGCTGTGCCAGTGTAGGTATAGCTATGATAACAAGCAACTGCGGATTCAGAGAAATACAACTACCTAAAAAATACAAGCAGAACTTCGACGTTTCGAGCGATGGCCCCCTCGTCCGGCTAACTTCACTGTCAGTAAAAAAACCTGAAATGGATGATTCCAGCTATAGACGAAATTTTGATCTAGACAAGAAGAACGAAATCCATTACCATAGCGGGACCATTACCATAGCGGGACCATTACCATAGCGGGACCATTACCATAGCGGGACCATTACCATAGCGGGACCATTACCATAGCGGGACCATTACCATAGCATTCATCTTCCGATCGCGCGCGTGTTGTTCCACAGGGCCTCGAAACGGACGAAATCAAATGGGCAAAGTGGCCGGGCTATTAGTAAAATCAGGAACACGGAACACCGGAACAGCATCATTCTGGAATACGGAACACCAGAACACCAAAAATTCTTAATTTGTTAAAAATTCGAGGAAAAAAATTACCGGGGGTTGTGAAATTCAGTTGCAGGAAAAATTATTCCGTAAAAGTAAAACATGCCTTTAAAATATTCTGACTTGCCGATTGCTACTAATTACGATCTGAAATCAGTCTCAAAGTAATATATATTTGCCCGAAAAGATGAAATCAAACCTAAGCAACTTGATTGCATGTTTCTCACACAAAACATAAGCAGCGATGGAAGGAAAACCTTTTTATAGCTATTTGAACTGCTAAGACTTCGTTATACTACCAAATTCGCGTGAAACCTGTGAACGGCTCCCTCTTCAATACTCCAATAGAAATGGCGACTACGTACTGACTATTGGACCAGGTCTATTGCTTCACATTATGTTGCGGCAGTGGCGTGCTGGTAGGGGCGGGGGGGGGGAGCTGGCAATTCTTGGGGGGGGGCAAAAATGTAAAGGGGGCGTCGATCCCGCGCCGAATTTTGAAAGTGGGTGGGAAGAAACGCATTCGAAAAAATATACTCACGCATAGGCGACAAAGTGATATATTAAATTACAGACTATTTTGTCTAACCGTATTTGCTAATTTGTTACCTCACGGCTCACACGAAATCGTTCATATAGAAACATGACATGATCAGTGATGACACGCAATGTCTCATTACCGGAATATTGATCAGGTTTCGAAGCGATCACGGGAATTATGCCCTTTTTTGCTGGTATTATACCCTTATATTATGCCCTTTATTATGCTTCACGAATCTCGAGAGCGGCGCAAATTATATAGTTGAAATTATGATGTAAAGTTGTGTACGCAATTTAGTTGTTTGCGCAAGAAACATCATGAGTAATGTAAGTAATGAGATAATGATGAAACGCGCCCTTTTGGCAGCCAGGCAAGGAAACCTTAAAATGCATATGCGTGGGGTCTGTGTGTTATTGCTGCTTGCCCTCAGGCAAGCAGCACACTATTCTTGACGTAACATGAAGTTCTTCGCATTCACTCGTGCCCAGTGTCAAATCTCGACTTGCATTTTCAAATGGATGTCCGGATTTTCAAACCGGAGGTATTTAAGTATGCAAAGTTATTATAAAAAGTGGGGGGTGCGGTTCTTTTTTATCGTTGCTTTCCGAACTCCTTTAAGGGTTTGAGTCCTTTTTCGGAGAGCTGTCAGAGAGTTACATGTTTCGAGGTAAGTTGAGTAAAATCCAATTATATATATATATTTACAAGCTCTGTTTACTTTGTGAATGTTCGTTTTTTCCCAGTTAACGTATTGAGTCTAAATAGTTGATCATGATTGCTCAATACACAGATTAATCTGCATTTATTTTGCATTTATTTTGCATATTCGTATTCATTCAATCATCCTGAAATATCTTCTCAATCCGAGTGTCAGTGAACTCTATAATATCCAGTGAACGGTATATATAGATTATAGAGTGTATATTTAATTTCCATTCCAAATTATGTTACTTCAGATAACATCTGGTCATTGGAACCTTAGTAGCAAAATGTGTCTATGGCCCATATTTGTGGTGGAGTCAATTGAGGCATATACACAGGCATAAAGTCATTGGAATTTATGTGCTGATTTATACAGTTACACCAACAAGTCGTGCCATCCTGACAGCTCGAAATATTCTATGGATTGTTACTTCAAAAAAATATAGACAGAAATGGATAATTGTTGAGAAATGACATTTAAAGAGAGATTGACATTGGAACTTCTATTCCTCTGTTATGTCAGAGGCAAGACACTATGGGCCATTCTATTTAATGTCCACCCCCCCCCTCCCCCCATGGATGGATTTTTCTGAAGGGTGACTGCATTTGAAGTTGTTTCTGAGGGGTTAAGCCTGTCGGCATCCTTGATCTCTGCAATTTTTCTAAGGGGTATTGGGGAAAATTTACACATTTTTGAGGGTTTTGTAGGGGTTAAAATTTTACTGACCTCATCCATGGGAGGGGGGATATTAAATGGAATGGTCCTATATTGACATTAACATGAACAGTTGTGACTCCTGTTTCTTTTGTTGAACATGGTTGTACACAACTTAGTCAGGTTGTTAGTGCTGTCCTTCAAACTCCTCTGTTCAACTACATGTACTTTTCAATTTTCTTTCTTTAAGATTGTATTGACAAACCCTGTAACGTTATATGTAAGAGAAGTCTGACATATTTTCCAGTCCTATTTCTTTCAAAAAATGCAAATTGCGTGCCTGTCTGTGCTCAAGACATGTACTTTTATGTTCATCGCCATTTCTGTCTATGTGTCTGTTTACTTCTACCGTGTGTGTCTTGTATGTTTGTATTTTGTGCACTTAGTCCACATGTCTTTTTCTTCATTCTCTTCTTCCGTCTCTTCTTCCTTCTCTTCTTTTAATTTGTATATGTTGAATATGTTAGTTTGTAAACTTGAAATAGTTTTTGTACAGTCAGTTTTTGAAGTGTTGTAATCTCAATTTTTGAAATGAAATAAATCGTACATACAGTATTTCTTTGTATGGGTACCAAGGCCTCCCAGAGAATTTGCGGGGCCCAGGACAAATCTTCCCTGGGGGCCCCATTAAATCATTATTTCTAATTAGCTAGACCCAACTAGACCTTAACTAGACTGCATGTCGAGGTACTGTAAGGGGCCCTAAATTTCAAATATTCTCTGACCAATTTAAAGAACCTACTCAATTTTAGGCTTTCGGTCTCAAGTTGGGGCCCTATTAAGGTGGATCCAGGGCATTAGGCCAATTCCCCCCTCCCCCCCCCTTTTGGTTGCCTTGTTGGGTACATGTAAATGTATTTTAAGCCAAATGAAAATAATTTTGTATTTAGTTTTCAGATATATTTGAGGTTTCAGTACTTGCCTGTGGATCCAAAACAGCACTTTCCTTGCGATAGTAACCCCTAGTTCGTATTTTCCTCGTGAATTATATTAATAAATTTTTTAAATCTATACTAAAAAACCTCAACTCTTTTGTCAATAATACTATATATATTCTAAAATCAATTCGATTTCGCTTTCACTTTTAAAACAAAAAACATAACAAACTTGTTGTACATGATGTTTCATGCTTTTAGGCAACTTGCATTCAATTATTGTTCTCTATTTATATTTTACAACGCATTGATATGATTCAAGTTTTATCGGTCTGCATGTTAATGATCTTGTGGTGTTTTCCTGAAACTGTAAATAAGAAATTTGTTTTTAAATATTTCAAATATTTTCTTAGTGGATGAAATCTCGCTAATTCTTTACCCGATATTTCACGGGAGCTCTCTAATGTTGTTTGGTCGGTGGTTGGAACTTGCGTTGATGTAAAATGGGTTGGTTGTTATAGGCTTTTTATAGAATTTGTATAGGTCCCTGTTCTTAGGTCAAGGGTCACGTGAAGAAAATTCACTTTTTAAAGGTTAGCTAATTGTATCATGGTTAACTTGTTAATTCTCCTTCACGTGACCCTTGAACTAAAAAATTCTGCACATACAAATTATGTATAAAACCTAACAACTATACACCACTTTTACATCAACACAAGCTCTAACCACCCATCAAACAACATTAGAGAACTCCCGTAAAATATCGGGAAAAGAATTAGCGAGATTTCATCCAGTAAACAGTGACGTAGCCAACGGGGGGGGGGGGGGGGG